GTTTAATATTTATTCAAGTAGGTATACAAATTAAAAAGCAAACGTATTTTTTTTTTTTAATTAATTATTTTGATTATTAGGTACACTTATATAAAAGTTAAATGTTTTAAGTCAAATTTTATTTCAGCTAATCAGCTTTCACAAACATTTCGATTGTAGATAAACTAGTTCTAAACGTAAATTTATCTAAACTATACAGTGTAGTTTTTTTTTGTTTATTCATCTAGTCCATATCCTTTAATTTTCTCTTCATTGAACCAATTAAGTATTTTTTTGACATTTTAAATTATAAAAAAGGTGCTCTGCTGTACAGTAGGTTGCAAGTGGGTCACTGTATAATGGATGGTATTAAATTTTAATTCAATGATATAATATCATTGTATAAGAAAAACGATTCTGAGAGGAGACGGTATGTCAGTCTAGGTATAAGATATATTATATACATATCTATGGTATAAAAAAAAAATTGACCTATAATAAATTCCAAATTAATCACATCACAATATCCATTAGGTACTTATAACGCGTTATACATCAATACTATCATAGATATATAATAGTACACTTTAGAAGTTTCAATTAGAAGTATCTTTAAATGCTTATAAAAAAAAATTGTGTCTATGTATTTTTAATATTTTTCAACGGATATTGTAACAATATATCAGGAGCCTTGTATTCAATTTTTACACTTTTTGGCCCAACAGATAAAACTTTATTGATATTTATAGAAAAAAAAAACTAAAAAAATTTAAAACTGAAAATGTCCGTAAACAACTAAAAAAGAGTCAAAATATTTTCAAAATTGTATGGTGTATAGGAAATTCTAATATAAACCTTCAGTGACATTTTCATGTATCTACAGTAATTCATTTTTGAATTACAACAAAATAAGGAAATCGCTACATGTGAAATAGAGTGAATATCCAATATTGTAAAAATTTGAATTTCAAACGCTCATAAAAATTTAATTTGACGTTCTTATAGACATTTTTTTTTTTTTTTATAAATGTAGAAAATCTCATAAGGAATCTTGTATTACATTTTCATATATTAGATTTAAAAAGAAAAATTTTTATGAATTTCTAACTCGAAATAATTTGTAAATTTTCGTGATTTTTCTATATTTTGTCATTTTTTGAAACGTAAATGCTTATAAAAAAAAACCTTGACTAACGATTTTTAATATTTTTCATCTGCCTTTGAAACCATATACTAGGAGCCTTCTATTAAATTTTCAAGCTTTCGAAACCAAGAAATAAAATTTTATTGATATTTTTAGAATAAAAACTAAAATAAAATGGAAAATGAAAATGTCCCTATACAGTACAAAAGTACAAAACAAATCAAATATTTTAAAAATTTTATCGTGTATAGAAAATGCAAATATAAACACCCAGTGAAAATTGCATGTATATACGTTTATTTGTTTTAGAGTTAAACCAAAAACCAAAATCGATTTTTTGGAAAACAGATTTTGCGTAAAAATTCCCGTTATTCCTTAATTTTTTATGTGTTTAACTGGCAGGAAAGAATCTTTTAAATTGTACAAATATGACATTATGACAACAATCGTCCATATCACTCGCTAATCTCTAGGCAGAAAATAAATAGTACCTACGTAGGTAAACTGTAAACATGATATCAAATGAACACTAATTGTCGGCCAGTTGATGCCGCGCAAATTACATTTTATGTTTTATGTTATTATTAATAATAATATATTCCTTACGGTTCACATCAGATAAATGAGTTATTATTATTATTTACTAATTTATTGTATATTTATTTGGTACTTAGGTACATACTTAATATATTATATTACCTATTTTATTGTAGACATATGAAATGCAGTTGTAGCCGCCGCCGTCGTTCGGTAACGAAATACAAACGTGAAGTAAATGATTCTACGATAATTATTGTCTTGTTTACAAATCAAAAATTCAAATAGATTAATAATAGCTTATTGGAGAATGGTAAATTTCTTGCAATGTTTAGACTGTTTCGAGAATTATTGATGTTTATCTAATACGGGGATTTTATAAAGTGCTAATAAATACAAAATTATACTCTCAACGGCCTCAACGTCGGGTTTTTGAGCGTTCGACCACGTCCGTTGGCTAATTTTAAACTATATTTCATATAAATATTTTGTTCACGGGAAAAAACCATGTCCACGCTTGCCTACATAAATCGGGGTTTGCAAATATTATGTTAGAATTTTTAGTTTTCTTTTTTCTTTTTTTTTTTGGAGAGATTCTGAGATTCTTAATTAATTATTATAATTTAACTACATCGGAGATTTATAAAATATCATTTATTTAGTTAAATGATATATTTATATTATGGTTTATCGTTAATGTATAAAGAAAGTATCTAGATACTTCATGAAATAACACCATTTCGTACTATAATATAATGCTAACAAATATAATATTTTAAACAGTGATGTAACTACCTACATAAGGTAAAGACTTATAGTTTATGGATACACCAGCTCAACGGAGATTACCGAATTACTAATTTTAGATTCTGAGCGGAGCGATGAATGTATTGGTTTTACAATGATGTGTGTTTTTATATTTTTATATTTTTTTTTGTGTCTGTCATCACGTTTTGGGACAGTAAAAGTGCTTCGATTTTCTTCAATAGTACCTTTTCTGATAGGAAAGTGAATCTAGTTGGTACTTTGGGGGGTCAAAAGTAAACATTTTCCAGTAGTTTTCACAAGCGCCGGGAAAAACAACATAAAAATTAAGGAAAAACGGGAATTTTTACGCAAAATCGATTTTCCAAAAAATCGAATTTGGTTATTGGTGTAACTTTAAAACAAATGACTGTAGATACATGAAATTTTCACTGGTTGTTTATATTTGCATTTTCTATACACGATAACATTTTCAAAATATTTTGATTTATTTTGAACTGTTTAGGGACATTTTCATTTTTCATTTTATTTTAGTTTTTTTTCTAGAAATATCAATAAAATTTTATTGGTTGGTTGCGAAAGCTTGAAAATTTAATAGAAGGCTCCTAATATGTTGTTTCAAAGGCAGATGAAAAATATTAAAAATCCTTAGTCACAATTTTTTTTTATAAGCATTTAAAGTTCAAAAATTGACAAAATATGGAAAAATCACGAAAATTAGCAAATTATTTTGAGTTAAGAATTCGTAAAAATTTTTCTTTTTAAATCTAAGATTTGAAAATGAAACACAAGATTCCTTATAAGATTATCTACCTTTATAAATAAAAAAATCTCTACCGGACAGTCAAATTAAATTTTTATGAGCGTTTGAAATTCAAATTTTTACAACATTGGATTTTCACTCGATTTCTCATGTAGCGATTTCCTTATTTTGTTGTAATTCAAAAACGAATAACTGTAGATACATGAAAATTTCACTGAATGTTTATATTAGCATTTCATATACACCATACAATTTTGAAAATATTTTGACTCTTTTTGAGCTGTTTATGGACATTTACAGCTTTCAATTTTTTTTAGTTTTTTTTTCTATAAATATCAATAAAGTTTTATCTGTTGGGCCAAAAAGTGTAAAAATTTAATACAAGGCTCCTGATAAATTGTTACAATATCAGTTGAAAAATATTAAAAATACATAGGCACGATTTTTTTTTATAAGCATTTAAAGTTGGAATTTTGACAAAATTTATCAAAATCTCGAAAATTATCAATCGTTGGAATTAAAAAATTATAAAATGTTCAGTTTTTATAACTAAGAGTTGAAAATTTAAAACAAAGATTCTCTTAAATAATTCATACTGTAACCAAAAAATCTAAAAAATATATAAACACACTTATTTTTTACAGACATTTTAAATTCAAATTTGGACGAAATTACATATTAAAAAACCTAGAATTACTATTTTAGTTATTTTGTTGTGATTGAATAATATTATTCGTGGGTACTTGAAACTTCTAAAGTGTACTATTATATATCTATGATAGTATCACGGTTTTTGTTGATGTATAACGTGTTATAAGTATCTAATGGATATTGTGATATGATTAATTTGTAATTTATTATAGGTACCTATTATAGGTCGATTTTTTGTTTAATACCATAGATATGTATATAATATGTCTTAATGTCTTATACATAGACTGACATACCGTCACCGCTCAGAATCGTTTTTCTTATACAATGATATTATATCATTGAATTCAAATTTAATACCATCCATTATACAGTGACCCACTTGTAACCTACTGTACAGCAGAGCGACACCCACTTGCCCACCTTTTTTTTTTTTAGTTTTAAATTTTATGTTTAACGTATTATCACGGACAAATAAATTCTTATATCCGTAATTATTGTTATGGTCGAAATCCGATGTGAAAAAAAAATTATTCAACGAGATAATGGGAGTTGATAGCCGTAGTAGGGACTACTATGAAAAAACTAGAAAATACTGTTATATATAGAGGTTGAAATTATCGTATTTAATCTCAACGTTCTATAACGTAAGACATCGCAAATGTGTACATAGGTACGCTTGTATTTCACCGAACAGCTAATTAGAATAGGTAAATCGAGAGACCCAAAAGGCCAAAACCATGTATTTTAGAACATATTAAGAATGTATTTTAAATGTGACGTGCAAAGCAAACGTGTCTTTAACCAAAAATAATATGAACGATTTCCAAGATATAATAATCGCGGACTCGGTTTATCAGCTCTATAAATAATAATTTTTCGGGAATAACAACAACGGGAAAAAAAACACAGTCGCGGATACGCGTGACACCGCCCCGCCCCGCCGACCACAAAATATTAGCGAGGACCCACGAGTTTGTGCGCGCGTCGCGTCAATCGCACTTTTGCAGCGCTCTCGTGTCGAATAATATTGTCGTTCAGGTGTCGAGAGAGCCTTTCGATGAGACCATAGATTACCGTTTTGTTTGTAATAACGGCTTTCTATTTTTCTAATCCAGTTTCCGTTTCAATAGGATCACCGCTGCTGCAGGGACTGTCAAAATGAGTGATTTGAATCGAAAAGTGAGTACCCATACGATCTACCTACAACTGTCTGCGCTCATAGAACCGAGCCCGGATTATGGGTGAGGGGGGACAAGGGGAGCACGGTGCCGGGGCCCATCTTTATCTCCAAAGTATATTTTTTTGACGGGTCAAATGCAGTTTTCAAAAAATTATTGTAGTTACCTGTAGTAGTTAAATTATTGTTCTCAATTTTACATCACGAAAAATTACTATATACAATGAACTATGTTTGCCAATAATTTTGTTTCTTTTTTTACCGATTTAACTATTAAAGTATATAAAAAGGTAGTTATAAGAAAAGCTTTTGTAAATTAGGTATTTCAGTTAAAAGTATTAATGCATATTATACTAAGCTTTAGAGGACCATAGTTAATAACCTAGAGAACCAAAATTTATCATTTGGCTATCAAAATGTTCAGGAAAAAGGTTTACCAGAATCCATCACATAATTAAGTGGTTACCATTTGAAATAAAGTCGATTTTATTATTGGTACAATTGCGTGTTTAAAAAAAAAGAAAATAAAGAAAAGCGTCTTTTTTTGTTTTAACAAAATTCCATATCATTGATCTAAAATTGTTAAAAAAAACCGCTTATAATGACATAAGATACATCCCATATACTTTTTGTACCTATAGTAAAAAATTATACAATAATATAAAGTTGTTAATATGTAATGATACAATTATTTTGAAGTTAAAGTTGAAAGGGGGCCACTAAGTGTATGGTGTCCCGTGGCCCAATTGATCCTTAGTCCACAAATTAACTTCAATTAGTCTCAAATCAACATTAAGGACGTTAAGTTATAAGTATGATTCGGATTTTAATGAATTTACACTATTGGGCATACATCGAACATTTTTATTAAAACATTATGCATTACAGTAGGTACCTACCTATATTATGAAAAATCCAAAAATATATTACTAGGTATAAAAAATAGGTACCTATTTATTATTTGGAAGTTGATTCATATTTTTAAAAATTTGATACCAGTTATACAGTGATGGTGCAACTTTCAATAATTTTAAAAAATAACTTAACATTTTGTTATAAAATTCATTATACCATTCCTTGTTATTGCAAACCAACTGTACCTAGTATTCTTGAAAATTAAGCGTTTGTTTTATTTTTAAAGTTAACTGAAAAAGGCTAAGTTATTAAGTTAATGGCTATTAGAAAGTGAACATTATAACTAGGTAATGCTCAGTGTTCGGGAGTATCTTAAGTTATAAGTTTCTGTAGCAAAAGTAGGTACTTTTTAAGTAATTAATAGGATTTGAGACTTCTTGCATTTGCATGTTTTTTTTAGTACCTAGTGGTTGTAGATTATTCTAGGTAAGTTATAAATTTGTTTTATAAAGTGGAAAAATTAAATATAAAGTTTGAATTTGCATATTTTTGCATATTTCATCAAATTTTAGGAAAATTGCATATTTGAGCAATTTTAGCATATTTGTGCATATTTCATATTATTTTTATTTGTATGTAGGCATCTACTCAAAATTGTTGGGAAAAATTATATTTGGGTTAACATTCAAAAATATTTCTTAAAATAAATTATGCTTGGATAGGTAGCATAGATGCAAATAGTGTTTTGGGGAGGCTGAAGCTTGAAGCCTTACTATAATATTCAATAGGCTTAAAAAAAATTTAGAAAATGTTTGTGAGGGCTGTTAAAATTGTTGGTGGTCGCTTGCCCCCTAAATCCCTCCCTATATGAGGATTTTATGGAACATATGTACCTAAGATTTTAAGAGTCTCTTTTCGATATAACCGTGGTAAAACCAATCAACATCTTTATTATTCTAGATCTAGATTGTACGAAGAAAAACAGTAAATATGTTGATCACAGTGTTCGCATATGACATTATTTGTTATTTCTTAAACTAGTACACGTGCCAGTATTTTTTAAAAATCAAGTTGTTTTAGGTATTTCACGATAGTTTAAAAATGCCCAAAACATGCATTAGTGTCCATATTAATCAATATATATTTGAATTAGTAAACATGTGAATGAATTATTTGTATTAGGTACCTATGTTTATGTAAGTACCTACCTACTTATTTTTAATTTTTAATTTCCAAAATTGTAATATAAAAATAATTAAGCTGAATATATTTAAGCATATTTTGATAATTTTTTGTGCAACAAGTCCCAAACCCTGGTAATTACCATCAAATTATTAAATTTAATCAAGTACGTTTTATTTTAAGCATTGTAAGTTAACTTTTTGAAGATCAGATAAAAAAAAATACTAAATTTACTTGTTGCTTTATTTTTTGAATACACTTTACCAAATTAATTGATATATATACTATTATATTGAATAAGTACACATTTTGACAGTAACAATTTTGTAATAGTTATTTGACAGAAAAATTTATTTTACTCGTTATTTTATAATAATATAATCTGAAAAATGCATTGTCATTCAAAAAAATAATGAATGATATTTTCAAGGATTTTTCTTTTCTTTAGTTCTTAAATAAAAATTGTATTTTATATCATGTTAATGATTGTCATTACCTAGTTGTTAATTTATCAACAATTTAATTATTGAGCCGCACTGATATTTTTGAACATAAAAATAAATTTTAATGTTGTACCTAATAAAGTAACTTTTTAACTAAAAATAATATTACTTTACCAAATAAAAAAAAGTAACTTAAGAATGATTTAATTACAATTTTGAAAGGTAATTTATAATGTAATTTAGGTACTGGTTTGTTATATCCCTGCCCAGTTATATAGGAAAACATTTTGGGGGCATATATATATATACTATTATAGTAATAGTAAATTTTTTCTTAGAACAGTCAGATTATTAACGGCTTTGCACTATATATTTATTACAATGGATGTCGACTATATAACATAGCTGAGTAGCGGGACTATAAAGTTTTCACACGCTTGGTACACAAACCAGTACCGTAATTTAATCACCAAAAAAATGTATGTAGCTTCCCCAATACTGTTGATGCTTAATTTCATCTACATTGAGTATTGAAACATTTAATCTAGATATAATAGCGCTTCGTTTGTAAGTTGTTTTATGCTATGCTGTAACTAATTGGGCTTATGAGTTAAAAATGTATAAACTTCTTCAACCATAAACTTTTTGCTAAACTGAGTAAACAATCATTTTATTTATTATTAACTTGTTGATATTTAGTATGATAAATAATAATAATAAATGTTTATACCTACATATTTATTGTTAAGAACAAATTAAAATAATAATTTAGTGTAACAAATTAAACTTAATAAAACTTCCTTGAGTTATAAAAAACTGTACTCAAATATATCTTTCACTAATTTAAATTAATAAGACCCATTTCTTGAGTTAGATTTGCTGACTTTATACTATTAGGTATTTAAATAGTCATACAATTTAATATACATTTTTTTAGATGTCTTGGGTAGCTGCCTACTTCCCAAAAACCGATGAACAAGGTGTAGTACCTATGAACTGGTTATTTGAAAAAAAAGGTAATGGAAATGGATTGTACTGTCTATGGCCTCCTGGTAAAGACATTACTGGCAAAGTTGTAATAAGAGCTGACCCTCCAAATTCATCTTGGTTAACATTTGAAGTAAAAATAATTATCAATAGACCTTTTGGTAAGTCTTTAAATAAGCTTTAGTCTAATATTATTTTGAGTAATACCTGTGTAATACATTTTTGAGCTTAATATTTATTTTGGAAATTTAATTAGCACAAGGTACCGTAAAGGATACCTACAACTAAACAAGACTTTAATTTTTTTTTTTTAAGATGATTATATTCAAGCTTGGCACCATCTTATAATATTAACTGAATCTCCTTTAATAGATATTCCACTGATTACACCGAAAAATGTTAAAAAGTACAACTTATCAAAATCTAGGAATGTTAATATGCTGACTGATGCATGTTCTTCAAGTCAGTTATTAGAGGTACAGTGTGTATATATTAGTATTTATATATTTTTTATGATAAATCGCTTATTTTTTTGAAAATGTTGATGATCATAATTTGATTCATTATTATTAGGGCCCAGAAGTATATGCACAGAAAACTACCAAAATATGTGCTAAAATATTCCCTTACATTATGTATATATAAATGTTACATACATATTATAAATGTAAGAAAAAATACCACTTAATTCTACAATTTTTATTTCAATTTAGTTGATGGTATTTAAAAATATTATTTTTTAGAACATTATAAAAAACTTGAATTTCAATTTGGAAATATGAAATATTATAAACACTGTATTTTTATATTATGTCCTTTTCAAACATTTCGATTTACTATCTTCTACACTTTCAAATGTAATCAAGTGCTGGTTGTTGACCAACATGTTTTTTTTTTACAATGAAAAGCTCACCTCCAAGTAAAACTATGAAATTGGAGTGAATTTAAAATAGGTATCACTTGAATAATCTTCTGTTCAAAAGAATAACTAAAAATGATTCTAAGCAGAGACTTTATGTCATTCTAGCATACTTATATGAATAATATAATTTAATAATTTAAAACCACTGAGTATCAAATACCGTAAACATTTTAAATTCAAACAATCATAAAAAATAAACGTAACTTTGCGGTGAACTTTTTTTTTTGTTGAAGGGAATCTTCTATTAAAATTTTTAATGTTAGCTATTCCTCATAAGTTGTTTTAATAGCACTTGAAAATATTAAAGATACAAGAACATTTTTTTAATACAAACTTTTATTCAGAATTGTTTTTATATAGACTGATTTTATATCATTGAATTCAAATTTCAAACATCCATTACAGTGACCCCTCCCTCTATACTACAGGGGAAATAAGAATGTACCCTGTCGTGCAGGCAGCTACCGGTTCCACCCGCAACCTATAAGCCCAACTTGCGCGTGACAAACCTGCTTTAGTCCGCCGCCCTGGTACATTCTTCTTCTGGCCATATTATAAAGTCTTGACAATAGACAATTACTATACAGCAGAGAGGTACCCACTTGTACTTTCAGCCATGAATGAATATTGAAATTAGTCAAAACCACAAATATTGTAGTAAAATTCATAAAAGTTTAATTTGAATATATACCTAAGGCTTAACAATTTAATACTATGATAGCATCATATGTTATTCTTACTGGAATAAAAATAAATTATGTAAAACTACATTCATTTTTACGAGCAATAAATTTTATTCTGATTTTGACTATATTGTCTTGCGTTGTTACGTGATATACGTCAGTCGTATTTATTGTGTATCTATTTGTCATTTGCATATTATTTTAGATTCTGAGTGGAACGATGAATGTATTGATTTTACAATGATGTGTTTTTTTTTTTTAATTTTTTTTTTTTGTGTCTGTCTACACGATAAGTAGTCGAAATAATTCTTCGATTTTCAACTTCAGTATCTTGTTCGATTGGAAAAGTCAAATTTTAAAATTCATAATAGTTTTCATAAGCGCCGGGATTAAACACATAAAAATTAAGGAATAACGGAAATAACGGGTTTGAGTTTTCCAATTTTGGTTTTTGGTTGAACTCTAAAACAAATGAACGTATATACATGAAATTTTCACTGGTTGTTTATATTTGCATTTTCTATAAACGATACAATTTTTAAAATGTTATGATTTGTTTTGAACTGTTTAAGCACATTTTCATTTTCCATTTTATTTTAGTTTTTATTCTAAAAATATCAAAAAAAATTTATTTGTTGATTTCGAAAGCTTGAAAATTTAATAGAAGGCTGCTAGTATATTGTTTCAAAGGCAGATGAAAAATATTAAAAATCCTTTGTCACAATTTTTTTTTTAATCATTTAAAGTTCAAAAATTGACAAAATATGGAAAAATTACGAAAATTAGCAAATTATTTTGAGTTAAGAATTCGTAAAAATGTTTCTTTTTAAATTTTAGATTTGAAAATGTAATACAAGATTACTCATAAGTTTGTCTAGCTTTATGAATAAAAAAATCTCTACCGGAAAATCAAATTAAATTTTTATAAGCGTTTGAAATTCAAATTTTTACAACATTTGATATTCACTCGATTTCTCATGTAGCGATTTCTTTATTTTGTTGTAATTCAAAAACGAATAACTGTAGATACATGAAAATTTCACTGAATGTTCATAATAGCATTTCCTATACACTGTACAATTTTGAAAATATTTTTACTCTTTTTGAGCTGTTTCCGGACATTTTCAGTTTTCAATTATTTTTAGTTTTTTTTTCTATAAATATCAATAAAGTTTTATCGGTTGGGCCAAAAAGTGTAAAAATTTAATACAAGGCTCCTGATATATTTTTACAATATCAATTGAAAAATATTAAAAATACATAGACACAATTTTTTTTTATAAGCATTTAAAGATCGAATTTTGACAAAATTTATCAAATTTAAAATTGAATTTTATAAAATTGAACTATTTTGTCGTTAATAATTTATAAAATGTTCAACTTGTATAGCTAAGGGTTGAAAATTTATAATAAAATTCCACAAAAGTAGTTAATTCCCTTGTTAATTCTGTTACCAAAAAATCTAAAAATATACATAGGCGCAATTTATTTTTATAGTCATGTTAAGTTCAAATTTGGATGAAATAACATAAAAAAACAGCGGAGCACCTTTTTTTTTATTATTTTTTTTTTTTTGTGTGTCATCACTTTTTAGGTCGGTAAAAGTGCTTGGATTTTCTTCAACAGTATCTTTTCTGATAGGAAAGTAAATCTAGTTGGTACTTTGGGGGGTCAAAATTTAAAATTCCCAGTAGTTTTCAAAAGCGGCGTGAAAAACAAAATAAAAATTAAGGAAAAACAGGAATTTTTACACTAAAATCTGTTTTCGAAAAAATCGATTTTGGTTTTTGTTGCAACTCTTAAACAAATTACCGTAGGTACATGAAATTTTGACTGAATGTTTATATTAGCATTTTCTTTACACGATAAAATTTTCAAAATGTTTAGGCACATTTTCATTTTCCATTTTTTTAGTTTTTTTCTAAACATATCAAAAAATTTTCAAAAAGTGTAAAAATTTAATACAAGGCTCCTGATATACTGTTACAATATCAGTTAAAATATTAAAAAGGTATGTAAGTGGATGTCGCTCTGCTGTACAGTAGGTTAAAAGTGGGTCACTGTATAATGGATGCTATTAAATTTGAATTCAATGATACAATATCATTGTATAAGAAAAACGATTCTGAGCGAAGACGGTATGTCAGTCTAGGTTTAAGACAAATTATATACATATCTATAGTATTAAAAAAATAATTGACCTATAATAAATTCCAAATTAATCATATCACATTATCACAATATCCATTTGGTACTTATAACACGTTATACATCAACATCAATAACAAACCCTTATTATACTATCATAGATATATAATAGTACACTTTAGAAGTTTCAAGTAGGTACCTACCCACGAATAATATTATATAATCACAACAAAATAACTAGGTTTTTTAATATGTAATTTCGTCCAAATTTGAACATAAAATGACTATAAAAATAAACTGTGATTGTATTTTTTTAGATTTTTCGGTAGGAGAATTAACTACTTACGTGGAAGCTTGTTTTAAATTTTCAATCCTTAGCTATAAAAACTGAACATTTTATAATTTATTAATTACAATGATTAATAATTTTCGAGATTTTGAAAAATTCTGTCAAAATTCGATGTTTAAATGTTTATAAAAAAAAAATGTGCCTATGTATTTTTAATATTTTTCAACTGATATTGTAACAATATATCAGGAGCCTTGTATTAAATTTTTACACTTTTTGGCCCAACAGATAAAATTTATTGATATTCATAGAAATAAAAACTAAAAAAATTGAAAACTGAAAATGTCCGTAAACGGCTCAAAAAGAGTCAAAATATTTTCAAAATTGTATGGTGTATAGGAAATGCTAATATAAACATTCAGTGAAATTTTCATGTATCCATAGTTATTCGTTTATGAATAACAACAAAATAAGGAAATCGCTAAATGAGAAATCGAGTGAACATCCAATGTTGTAAAAATTTGAATTTCAAACGCTCATAAAAATTGAATTTGACTGTCCGGTAGAGATTTTTTTATTGATAAAGGTAGACAAACTTATGAGTAATCTTGTATTACATTTTCAAATCTTAGATTTAAAAAGAAAAATTTTTACGAATTCTTAACTCAAAATAATTTGCTAATTTTCGTGATTTTTCCATATTTTGTCAATTTTTGAACTTTAAGAGCTTATAAAAAAAAACTGTGACTAACGATTTTTAATCTTTTTCATCTGCCTTTGAAACAATATACTATAGGAGCCTACTATTAAATTTTAAAGTTTTTTTAACCAACAAATAAAATTGTATTGATATTTCTAGATAAAAAACTAAAAAAAAATGAAAAATGAAAATGTCCCTAAACAGTTCAAAATATTTTGAAAGTGTTATCGTGTATAGAAAATGCAAATATAAACAACCAGTGAAAATTTCATGTATCTACTCTAATTTGTTTTAAAGTTACACCAAAAACCAAATTCAATTTTCTGAAAAATTGATTTTGCGTAAAAATTCCCGTTTTTCCTTAATATTTCTTTTGTTTTTCTTGGCACTTTTGAAAACAATAATTCAAATTTTGACCTCCCCAATGCACAAACGATATTCACTTTCCAATCGAACAAGATACTGAAGTCGAAAATCGAAGCATTATTTCGACTACTTATCGTGTACACAGACACAAAAAAATAAAAAAAGCACACATCATTGTAAAATCAATACATTCATCGTTTCACTCAGAATCTAAAATACATAGGCACAATTTTTTTTTATAAGCATTTAAAGATCGAATTTTGAGAAAATTTATCAAATTTAAAATTGAATAATTATTTTGTAGTTAAATATTTATAAAAATTTTAACTTTTATATCTAAGGATTGAAAATTTAAAACAACATTCCGCGTAAGTAGTTAATTTTGTTACCAAAAATCTAAAAAAAATATAACACAGTTTATTTTTATAGTCATTTTAAGTTCAAATTTGGACGAAATTACATAAAAAAAATCTAGAATAATTATTTTAGTTATTTTGTTGTGATTGTATAATATTATTTGTGGGTACTTGAAATTTCTAAAGTACACTATTATATATGTATGATAGTATCAGGGTGTGTTGTTTATGTATAAAGCGTTATAAGTACCTAATGGATATTGTTAAATGATTCATTTGGAATTTATTGTAGGTACCTATAATAGGTTAATTTTTTTTAATACCATAGATAAGTATATAATATGCCTTATACCAAGACTGACATACCGTCATTTATCGTTTTTCTTATACAATGATATTATATCATTGAATTCAAATTTAATACCATCTATTATACAGTGACTCACTTGTAACCTACTGCACAGCAGAGCACGTTTTAGATTCTGAGTGAAACGATGAATGTATTGATTTTACAATGATGTGTGTTTTTTATTTATTTTTTTTGTGTCTGTGTACACGATAAGTAGTCGAAATAATGCTTCGATTTTCGACTTCAGTATCTTGTTCGATTGGAAAGTGAATATCGTTGGTGCATTGGGGAGGTCCAAATTTAAATTTCCCAGTACTTTTCAAAAGCGCCAAGAAAAACAAAAGAAAAATTAAGGAAAAACGGGAATTTTTACGCAAATTATCAGAAAAAATATCAGAAAATTGAATTTGGTTTTTGGTATAACTTAAAAACAAATGACCGTAGATACATGAAATTTTCAGGGGTTGTTTATATTTGCATTTTCTATACACGATAACATTTTCAAAATATTTTGACTTATTTTGAACTGTTTAGAGACATTTTCATTTTTCATTTTTTTTTAGTTTTTTTTCTAGAAATATCAATTAAATTTTATTTGTTGGTCAAAAAAACTTGAAAATTTAATAGAAGGCTCCTAGTATATGGTTTGAAAGGCAGATGAAAAATATTAAAAATCGTTAGTCACAGTTTTTTTTTATAAGCATTTAAAGTTCAAAAATTGACAAAATATGGAAAAATCACGAAAATTAGCAAATTATTTTGAGTTAAGAATTCGTAAAAATTTTTCATTTTTAATCTAAGATATGAAAATGTAATACAAGGTTCCTTATAAGATTGTCTACCTTTATCAATAAAAAAATTTCTACCGGAAAGTCAAATTAAATTTTTATGAGAGTTTGAAATTCAAATTTTTACAACATTGGATATTCACTCGATTTCTCATGTGGCGATTTCTATTTTTGTTGTAATTCAAAAACGAATTACTGTAGATACATGAAAATTTCACTGAATGTTTATATTAGCATTTCCTATACACCATACAATTTTGAAAATATTTTGACTCTTTTTGAGCCGTTTACGGACATTTTCAGCTTTCAATTTTTTTAGTTTTTTTTTTGTATAAATATCAATAAAGTTTTATCTGTTGGGCCAAAAAGTGTAAAAAATTAATACAAGGCTCCTGATATATTGTTACAATAGCAATTGAAAAATATTAAAAATACATAGGCACAATTTTTTTTATAAGCATTTAAAGATCGCATTTTGACAAAATTTATCAAAATCTCGAAAATTATCAATCATCGTAATTAATAAATTATAAAATGTTCAGTTTTTATAGCTAAGGATTGCAAATTTATTAAAAAGATTCTCATAAATAGTTCATACTGTAGCCAAAAAATCTAAAAAATATATGAACACACGTTATTTTTTACAGACATTTTAAGTTCAAATTTGGGACGAAATTACATATTAAAAAACCTAGCATACCTATTTTCGTTATTTTGTTGTGAGTGTATAATACTATTCGTGGGTACTTGAAACTTCTAAAGTACACTATATTATATATCTATGATAGTATCAGGGTTTGTTATTGATGTATAACGTGTTATAAGTACCTAATGGATAATGTGATATGATTAATTTGGAATTTATTATAGGTCAATTTTTTTTTTAATACCATAGATATGTATATAATTGTCTTAAACCTAGACTGACATACCGTCTTCGCTCAGAATCGTTTTTCTTATACAATGATATTGTATCATTGAATTCAAATTTAATACCATCCATTATACAGTGACCCACTTGTAACCTACTGTACAGCAGAGCGACATCCTCTTACCCACCTTTTTTTAACTTTTGAATACTAAGCATTTTTCAATCGCTAATAAAATTGAACTAAACTGTTTTCAAGCAAACTTAATGAAAAATTTAAAAATGGTTTTTAGCCATATTATGGCTTAAATTTGTTTGTTAAGGGGCCTGCACGCGACCTGTTTTTTTGCTCAAAAACATGCCTTACAGGAAAAACTCTCACGCCTCGTAGATTGGTCCGATTTCCGTAATTTTTTTTTGTTAGATAGAGGAAGACTTCTTACAGGGCGCATTGGACTTGGATTTTCAACATTATTTTTCTAAGTCTTATGTTACAAGTTTGAATTTAATCAATTTTTACAACTTTTTAGTTTTTGTATTATTTTTTGTTTTTAGCGACGTAATCAAAAATCGAAGTCCAATGCGCCCTGTAAAAAATATTCCTCTATCTAACAAAAAAAAAATTACGGAAATCGGACCAATCTACGAGGTGTGAGAGTTTTTCCTGTAAACTGTGTTTTGACCGATATAATACACCCTATCAACCCCCCCTAAATAGGTATTGGGTAGTAGATTAGTGGAAAGTCTTATAATTGAGGTGGCAACTAAAATATAAAATTTAATTTTCAAATTTTATAGAATTGCGGAAAATTTGAAAAATCGCGAGCAGGCCCCTTAATACAAGAGTTGGTACATAATGCAATGTTGTATTCAGTGGCAGATCCATTGGGACAAAGGGAGAATTTGCCCCTCCCCCCAAAGTTAAGCCCTGGATCCTCTGGTTGTATTGGCGTAAAAAACTCTTAGAGTTGTAAAAGTCACAAGAAGAAAAAAAATACAACTGTCAAAAGGTTAATAATTTTGTACAAAAATAAATATAATATTTGTGTAATGATTTATTGAAATGTGCTTGCACTTGCAGTTTACTATTTTTTTACACTATGGTCACAAATACTACTGATCGCTTTAACGCACACATAAGCTTAGACAACTGCTTATATTATTGAAGTCGTTAAATTAAAAACGATTTGCATCAAATCCTTTTAAGGAGGGGCCCTGTGCCAAATTTGCAAAATTCTATAAAATTTGAAAATAAAATTTTTAAGGTTGCTGCTACCTTAATTATATTACTATTCCACTAATCTACTACCCAATAACTATTTGGGGGTTTTTGATAGGGTGTGTTAGTGGAAACCTCCAAATAACAAGACATTTTTTCTGGAACAAACTACAAACTGAACCATCTGAATAACAGTGAACACAACAGAACTTCAGTGACAGATGCCCAGTATTTATATGTTTCACTGTATACTTAATAATGATTTGTCATTGAAATTTTATTAATTTTGAAGTTCTTATTTTATTTTAATTTACTTATTTACAATATTTTTGTACTATATTATTAAACTTAGAATATTGATCTGCCTAATGATGGGATGACAACTGGCGAAGAGACAATAATGAAGAATACACCCAAGTCAACTGACATTCAGAATGATGATTCCTCTCACTTAAATAGTAAACATAGTTTTTTTTCTCTTAAAATCTGAACTTGTCCTACTTTTTTAAGTTTAATAAATATGTTTTGAAGTATAGTTAATATTATGTTTGTTGTTTATGACGGATAATTTTTAATTTTGTGCTTAGACTTGGACGTAAAACATTTATTATATGGAATTTTCAATGGTGGAGTAAATATCAAATTCATGTTAAGCGAAGTATTGTCTAAATTGGAAAATTTGCAAAAACTTTTTGCTAAAATTGAGTTACCACCAACCAAAACTCTAGATGCACAGTTTTTAGAAAAGTTTCCTATAAACACTTCAGATGCATTAAAACATATAGAAGAATGTATAATAAGGGATGAATTTGACTTTGGATATAAACTAGTTGAGCATTTTTATAATTATGTAAGATATATTAATTTAGGATTTTCTAATTTAACTGTCTTATTATTAATAGGAAATTTATATTAAAACAATTGGTGGCCGTTCCTTTAAACATCATGTAGGGCGTGCTTTGTCAAGATTTATCACTGATGAATATGCAAGAAAGTGTACATGGAATCGTAAAGGAAAAGGAAAGACTACTAAAATTCGTGATACATGTTTGATTAACATTTTAAAAAGTAAAGTAGATTATTTTTATTTACCAGCAAATTATTTTATTTCAATTTTTTGTACTTATTTAACATTTATAGGAATTTTGCAAGAATGTTATGCTCCACAAATAAATACAGATTATGAGTATGAAAAAATTGTAGTTGGGTGGCTTAGACGTTGTGTTATAAGATACAATAAATCAAAGCCGCAGAAGTTCATTACATAAACCAATGGTAAAATTAACATTTCTTAAAATAGTGCAACAAATTTAATTAATTAAATATTAATTATACTATTATTATCTTTTTATAGAAATAAATAAAACTCAATTTTTATATTTACAAAATAACTCATAACATTGAGTATATGTTGTATATAGAAAGAATGTTTGATATTTTTGCTGTGCTAAATATTAGTTCATTGACAATGACAACAGAGCGCGCTGACAATATTATTTTGATTTTTAATAGGTGAAATTAAATAATATTATATTATACTCGTACCTATTTTATTGTTTGACATAATAATAAAAATATAATAATTTATTTTACTGCTATAATATCATACATATTAGATTAAAGGTAATTATTATAATGACTAATTTGACACTGCGATTGTGTACAATATTTATTAATAGGAAGTGTTACTACGCTAGTTTTGCCTCTGCGACAAATTTTTCCATGAGCCATCTATCTCATATATATCCCGCCTCCCCGAGAGCTTAGGATATTTTTATAGTACATTGTTTCTCTATACAATATATACTAAATGCTAATAATTAAATACTGATTTAATTTTATCTATTGTACCAAAGTGTTACATTTTAATTTTTAAGCCTTCTAAATTATTACCGATAGAAAAATGATAATTAGCAAATAGTAAAAACTTTTTCTTTTATAAAATTATTAAATATATGTAATTTAGTACTAGTTAGTAGTTTCAGTGTTCCATGTTGATTATTTAATAAATATAATAATGAAAAACATTGAGATGAGAGCCACGGCCCCCATTACCAAAGATAGGTTAATTAATACTTGAATAATAATTATTCAATAATTAATGTATTAGTGATTGTTAAAAATATATTGAAAAAAAAAATATATATAGATTATAAAAAAAGTCAAAACTGACATTGTAAACCTATTTTCATCTATATACGGTTGTATTTTTATGGTATTATATTATAATAGTTAATAATTTAATTACAATTTCAGATATCAAATTCAAGATTTTATGTTCAGAATACTTGTGATATTTTACAGCACAGTTTTGAATTAATTAAAGTTAACAGATGTTTATCAATACATTTTATTGTAAGCATACATCCAGAGTATTATCTTACATATTATAAGAGTATTTGAATTTTTTTTCCTTTTTGATTTAAATATTACTATATTATCATTATAACTTTGAATTATTATTATACCAGTTTTGTTACAAAAAAAAAAACATACATACTGTGTTTATATTTCATTTTTATTTTATTACTTAGTTATTACAAACATTGTTATGGAAGTGGGTATTTATTTTTTAAAAATTATATTAATTTTATTATGTTTTAATTTATAGACAATTCTAAAAGTTTGTTATTTTATTTAAGAGTTGATTTGTAACAATACTTTATTTTGTAATATTAAATGTATCTACCTTCAATTATATTTTAAATCAAGTTTATATATTTCTTTGTACTTATGTATGTTATTATTTTTTTTATGTTTTAAATCAAACAAAGTAATTTTGTTTTATAAAAATAAATGATAACATTTTGAATTTCCTATAAAAAGTTTGGTTTTAAGTTAAATTAAAAATATTTTTCATAATAATCATTGATAATTGAACTATTCAAATGAGTGTAACCCAAAATAGATCATATTACAGATATTTATTAGGATCCACCTAGATCAGATACCAACAAGCTACAAGCAATCTGTTGAAACTGGAAAATTTTATTTGGCCCATAGATTAAATTTTTGAATCTTTGAAATTTTAGGAACCACTTTAAGATGATTTTGTGGGCTAGATTATTAATTTCTTAGAGGAAATTCTCCGAGCATTGTTTTTTGTCTTTCTCTAGGCTCTAGCCCATGTGCAACATACAAAACGCCTTTACATAAAGTAATTTTTTTTTTATTCTTGAGTGATCTTAAAATAAAATCACCCTTTACAAAAAAATAGAATAGAGAATATATTTTTGAAGGTATTACATATCAATTTGTCTAAATATTGCCTCAAAACAATTTAAACATCATTTAAATTTATAAAAAAAAAAAAATGTATGTATTTTAATTTGAATACAAAGTCAAAAATAATAAAATATAAAGCCAATATGTCATACCTTCAAAAATATTATCCACTACAATTTTTGTGATATGTGATTTTCCTCTGAGAAAAAAATATTCCAAAATTATCTAAATGTTCAAAAATATGCACCAAAACACCACAGATTTGGCTTTGTTGTAACATGGAACAAATATATTTCTAGTGATTACGCAAAATATGCTAGAACTCCTATGCTCTGGACTTTATACAAACAAAAAACACAACAGTTAAAAATCAATACATTTGCTCCACTCTGCTGAAACAATCAATCTCTGATTTCGAATATCTTGTTTTCTACTCAAAATATTGAATTATACATTGTAATTTTTTCTTTTATTAGTATTCTCAACAAATGGGTTAGGTAAATATGGTTGTACCTACATGTCAAACAACAAATAAATAAAAGTCTGTTTAAATTTAAATTATATTTGTTTTATTATTATTAACTGCTGAAATCAATTGCACATTACTATTTTTTTTAAAACTATCTACATGTTTTACACAAAGTACACACATTTTCTTTGAATTTAATTATTATTTTTTTTACGTTATTTATAACAATACAATGTTACTTTAAAGTTTAAACATAACGTTCTCTAGGACAATAATATATAAATAATTATTACATCATAATATTATAGCGTATGACAATATTTATTTCATTCTCAAACAATATTTAAATTCGATTTTCACTAACATCTATTGTATATTTTAATTATTATTATTTTCTGAACAAAGGCGAATAATATTGTGCATTATATATCAGTATGATCTGAACTAAAACATAAATAATAATAATAATAATAATAATAATAATAATAATGATAATATAATAATAATAAAATATAAAAATAAGAAAAAAAACAGTTTAAAGGGTGCGTACTTCTACCTGTACTGATTTTTTTTTAATATTAAGTAGTACTTAGTGTACACAAACACACACGCACACACACTCACAGGTACATTAGTACATTTAAAGGCACTTAGAAAAACAATTTTTTTTTGTCTTTTTTCATGACATAATTAAACAATATAATAATCAATTTTAACTTAAAAAACAAACTGCTGCTCGACAAAATGATGTTTGTACATTTATTGTTAAACAATAATAATAATTTTGATAAAAAAATGTTGTCATAGTACAATAAAAACTTCAAAGAAATTTAAACATTAAACACTGTGGTATGGTGAGTAGGTAGTGTGGCTAACTAAACCAATAAGAGGGCAGGGGGTCCAGAGCGCATACAAAGAGACGAACATACAACAGGTACACTGCGAAAATAATCTTAAACAAATAACTACGACAGCACATGTCGTAGGTATCTACTACATACTGTAATATACTACAATAAAATGTATGTATAATCTTAAAGAGTTCCTTAATAATAATAATAATAATAATAATAATAATAAGCAAGTAATAATATTAACCAAAACAATTATTTTATTGGTTTTTCAAACTCTATACAACACGTGACTCGCTATATATTATATTATTTTTTGTTTTTTTCATTTTTTTTTTTCATAAGGTGTTATTAAAAATAATAATTTTGAACAACTATTTGAACACACACACACACACATATACGGTAAAGCGATTAATTAAATACGATCATGGCGGGGAGGGAAGGAGACGCGATGATAGTGGTTGACCAAATCTTCTATAATATTGTAGCACATTGAGGTCTGGTAACCAATATTTGGTAACCACCAATATAGTATCAGCCGATAGTAAAACAATATAGACAATTTTGACAGAGGGATGGTATCCAATAAAATCAATAAAAGGGTCGAACAAATGGTTACCACCGCGAGCATACACGTGTGTACAGGAAAATCAAAGATGTCAATAAGAAAAAAAAACCCCGGAACGTTTCTTTCGGCTTCAAAAAACTCAATATTTTTTACTTAAATACAATAGGTTGGTAGTATAAATTACATACACTAACAAATGATGTTAATTTAATCTGATGGGATTCGAACTAAGAAAATATAACAAAACAGCGGCCAGCGGGCTTTTTAGAAGACAACAAGAACTCAGTGGGCATCGTATTGTACGTTCAAAAAAACCAAATAATAAAATTCATAAAAATAATTAGGAACATTGACTGGTACCGATATTGATGAGTAAACCAATTTTAACGTTGCAATTTACAGAACCAATAAAATATAACATTGTCAATTTCATTATGATTATAATTTTAAAAACTTCTGGTCTCGCTTATCATTTGAAACTATTATGTTTGTACATTGTTTTCCTTAATCGTATATAATATTTGTTTAAGTACAAGGCCTTTAAAAATTAATAATAATAATGATAATAATAATAATAGTAAAAATAATATTAATTATAAGAAATCATACAACTAAAAATTATAACTGTAAAATGAAAAAAAAAAATAATTATTATTATAAATAAAAAGTATTAACAAATTGAGCAGAGCAGATCTGTTTTTTAAAAATTAAAATAAAATATTGGAACTCAAAAAGCAAAATACTCGATGCAGCGAATATTTTTAAAAGATCAATTATGTGGTGGCATGAAAAAAACAAAATAAAGATAATTATTTTTAGAAGAGCACTTTACATTATGTAATTATAAATGTTTCACAATAATTTGTATGTTTTAAATACTAACATACACTAAATATGAACCAACAATTCTAATTTCACAGAGATTTTATCATGAGTATGAGAACTTTACAGACAAAATCTTGACAGCTCGGCTAAATCTCTATTGGACGTAATCTTTTACCTATCGTAACGTATTAATTGACAATTGTTTCGATAAAAATAAAACATTTAATGTGATATTTCGCCTCGTGATCACTTGTTCTAACAAATATTTATTATTTTTTTTTTTAAATCATGAAATTCATTGATTAATGTTTAAGATCAAAAGTTGTTGGTCCATATTCTAGTAGATGACAGTTATATAATTTAAAGACACATAAATTACGGGTACATGTGTTTCATTTGATTTTACTCTTTGATATTCAGAAAATTATGATTACAATATTTTAAAATATATGGCACTTGTTCAACATAAAAATAATTACTTATTCAGGTTTACAAAAGAGAAAATCATTGATATTATTTTATGCATAACAAATCTTAATAACTAAAATTAAACATGGTACTATCTAACTTAAGTATTAAAATGTTTGTACTATAATAATTACCTGGTCTAAACTTTGATTAACAAAAAAAAAAAATTGTATATACATTATACATATGACAAAATAAAATACTCAATTCACTGAGTCTTAAAACAAAAATCTTGGTTTAATTTTACATTGTGAGCTGAGTATAATATTAATAATAATTATACATCTCAATTCATTGTTAAAGCACCAGTCTATGTTATATATTAACATAGTAATCGGTCTGAATAAATATTTTCCTACATTTCAATAAAATCTTGATGGTTTGTATAAATCTGTACAAAAACGTGTTATATATAAAAAGAAAAGCAGGGAGAGGGGTTTAAAAATATTAAATAACTCAAATATTAATCAATCATTGTTCTACTTCTTGGTTTAATGTGTTTAATAAAGATAAAACTTATCGATTTTAAGTTTAAAAATATATTATTAAATTGTTTATCTACTCAGTTTAAATGGTTTACACATTATTTTAATTTAATTTTATAATAAGTCTTATTTGACGTATTCTTTTTAAAATATATTATATATGCTTTAATTTATGGTAGTCTTTTATTTATAGTATATTGTTGAGGTAAATTAAAATGAAAAAAATATAATATAATGAGAAACTGTTATGCATACATGGAAAAATTTGTTCAGTTTGTGCCCAACCACCTATCTACTAAAATAATTAATAATGCGAGGCACTTCAGATTTTTCAATGTAAAACATAAAAATAAAAAATACATAAAGTGTCATCAGTCTTTCCTTTCGTCAGTCTAATTAGGAAAAATGACCACGACCTTAAAAAAAAAAAAACATAATATTAATAACTTAAGTTTGTAAGTAAATATTTCATAATATTACTTCATTGGTCAACAAGCTGTTTTATTATTTTGTTTGATGAGTGGCATGAAAGAAATCAGTGACTAGTGTCAATTAATAATAAAAAAAAAAATAATAAAAATAAAAATAATAAATAAAAATGAATGAATGATCAACAGAAATACACATTACATTCGTATAACCAAGATGCTGAACTTTTAAATTGTTTTTTTTTTTTAATTAATAATAAAATAATATAGATATTATTATGTCAAATAATTATTGCACTTGGGTTCAACTGAGGGAGATACAGAAAGAATAAAATAATATAGTATCTTTGTTCAGATGTTTGATAGGTAAATTATTTAAAACATTTAAAAACTATGTATACAGTAATAACACGCATTAAAATAATTTTAATAGTAAAAATAACATTTATGTTTGTACTTTAAGTTGTATTGACTATATTTGATAAGATTATATATTATTATTTAAATTGTACTTATAACGTAGTAAAAAGAAACCCAATTAGTTTAGATTTTTTAATTTAATTTCAAATTCGGCTATCGTTTGTTAACCGCTTGAAAAAAACTAATGCTAATTTTGCACTTTGATTTGTACTCTATTTTTTTAAAAAAACGTGTAAAGTATAATTAAAAATAATAATTCAATAAAACACGATATTATATACATTGAGCCTTATAATTGTTTGTATATATCATAAATTAATATATACATATATTATAGTAATACCAAAGTATTATTATTTTATTGTTTATTTTAGTCGTATATATAAAACATAATATTTTAAGTTCTATAGAACGATTATAAAATTATACGTTTTTTTCTTTTATTTTAATTAAGATGATGCATTTGCATAGATATATATTTCGAGTCTCATAATGAAATAATTTATCTTATATAAATATTACATTGTTGTTGAACACATATGAAATGAGGAAGTCTTCAGACTATACTGTTAGCAATTGTTATCATTGAAATGGATACTCGAAACAACAGGGTCAACACAAAACATGTGTGTGTTTAATTTTTAATTAGATCAAAAAATAAATAAATGGGTGAATAAATAAATTTTAAAATTGAAACTCATAGGGGATAAGTTTTTTTTAATAATGGCACTACCTACGAGTTTTCGAAAAACTTAATAATATAACTTTGCTGCATCACTAAATTTGTTTTTTTTATTAATACTGGTTTATAATTAGGAGGTACATACTTTTAACTAACGAGTTAATATGGCATAAAGACGAAAAAAAAATTATTATACATGTAATAATATATAATAAGTTCAAGTCTTGTGATAAGAGGTTGTGATCGATTTATTACTTGGCGTTAGCAAAAAAAAAACACATTTTAATATCTACGATTGAGGTAGTTGAAGAGGAATGGTATAGTTCACTATATAATATTAGAGAGTTTAACCCGTAAAAGGTATCGTAAATATTATATTATTATATAGGTGTATATTATATACTATGGCACGAACGAAAAGAAAAAAAACTGTTTTTTTTTTTTTAAAAGTCTGATAAAAACATTTAGGAACAAACATGTTTGAACTGTTATGTTGGACTGTTAAACAATTTAATGACTAGTCGTAAATAAATAAAAACGTAAAAAAAATAGATTAATAATAAAAATAATAAAAAAAAAAAAAATCACCGGTCAGAAAATCGATCTACCTACATTGTCTTCTGTGGCATTGAATCAAAAAAAAATGTATACCGTGTTTCATGATAGTTTTCGCTTAGTAAGTATAATAATATTAGAAATTATTGTCCTCCGAGAATTTCCGTTGACGTATATAATATAATATATATTCACAATGTCTTTAAAAAAATAATCTTTAGATCTTACGGTTCATGTATATAGTTCCGTCCACGAATCACATCATACTCACGACCTAACCGTCCACTACAATTTATGGCTATTATAATATCATACATTAATAATAATGGTACAATAATATTTTATATACGTACTATCCTCCTCTCTTTCTTTTTTCTCTCTCTCTCGCACATTGCAGACGACGAATCGCGGGTTTATTCAATATATTACACTCGAAACTAAAAGGCCTAAGTCCTAAATTTTTTTTGATTTTTTAAAAATTTTTTTACACATTTGTTTTCGTCACTATTGCATCGACGAACGGTGGCGGTGTGGATGCCACTAAATTGTAGGGGGCGATCAGTTGTTGCCGGCCTGCAGCGGCAGTGGCGTGTCATTGACGGCGCTACCGGCGGTGCCGCCGTCGCTATGTCCGCGCCGGCGGCGACGGTCGTCATCGTCCTCGTCGTCGACGTCCTCATCGATGTCGTCGTCGATGTCGTCCTCGTCAATGTCGTCCTCGTCGGACGCAGACGAGTAATCCGCGTCGTCGGGCGCGATCTCGTGCTTGATCATGTCGCCGGCGATCTTGGACGCGTAGAACAGGGGCGGGTTGGTCTCCACCAGCGCCTTGAGGTACGAGTCCAGGAACGCCTTGTTGTTGTACGGCGAGATCTTGCTGTCGCCCGGCTGCAGGTCCTTGCCGCAAGCCGCGAACGACGGCAGGAACGGCGACAGGGCGCCTCCGCCGCTGCCGCCTCCACCGCCCACCCGCGCGTAATTGTCGATCAGATCCATGGCCGTGGGAAACTTACCCCCGCCGCTGTTGTGGAGAAGGTGCTGCTGCTGTTGCAACAGCTGCTGTTGCTGCGAGTCGCTGAACCGCTGTTGGTTGTTGTTGTTATTGTTGTTGTTGCCGTACTGCTGGTGGTGATGGTTGTTGTTGTTGTTGTGGTGGGTGTGGTGATGGTGACCGGACGAGTTCACGGTCAGGTCCTCGGGGTCGTCACCGCCGCACACACTGCTGTTGGCCGACTGCAAGTCCAACTTGCCGTCGCCGCGCCGGTGACTGGTCGTGACCGCGTCCGTAGGCGAAGCCCTCGCCCGTAGTTCGGCCGGCGATACCTGAAATCATCAGACGGGCATTAGGGGGATGCGATACAGGCCGTGTTTTCTGGCACGATAGACCTGACTTATTGCAAATCAGGTTTGTATAAATTTTACAATTTACTCATTTAAAATAAACTATAATTTTATACTTGTTAATTCATAGCTATTATAAGTAGGTAATTATAATATAAATATTATAAATATTACTATTTAATTTAAATATATACTAATAATACTAATAAATTTAACTAACATTTTATTTCTATGTTTTTCGTTCCTTTTTTTCACAAACGATTATTATCTCTACCAATTTGTGTAACGGGCCTGGCTTGTTCATAACTCAGATCAATAAATAAACTACCCCATAATAACTGCAGAGGATAAAAAAATTCTGAAAATATGGTTCATGGTGAGTTAGGCTATACAAGCCATAACCCATCACTATATAATGATATATCTATCCAAAATACACCAACCAACTTACAATTTGTCTGGTGTAATTTGGACAGCCAATTTAAAGGTAAAAATATTACCACTATTAGTGACTTTTATAGATATTTAAATTTTAATGCGAATTATGATCATTTTAAAATCGTCATATTTTCCATTTTTTATGAGTCACTTAAAATGTAATTATCAATAAAATCCTATATACGAGATTTCCCTAGATAATCTTACACCTGGGGGATGAGGTGGCCGAGTGGTCTAACGCGTTGGCTGCGGCGCTGCCGGTCGCGGTTTCGATTCTCGACCACCGGGCGGCATTTTTCTCCGGGCAAGTCACGGTGTCCGGAGAACAAGTGCCGCCATCCCCCACTCCGGGGCATGGCAGAAACCTACGGGTGCCCCATTCGAAATTCTGCCAAAAATACACCCACGTGTAACACACCTACCGTTCCAAAACCTACAGTACTACCCCCCTCCCAATGGCCTATGTTGCCGCGGGATAATTAATAAAAAAAAAAAAAAAATCTTACACCTTTAGATTTGACAATAGAATAATTAGACTACTATCTATAATATTAATAATACTAAAATGTACCTACTACAATACAATTAATTTACAACAATTAACTAAAATAATGAAACAAACGACACAAAATGGACTCTTCTAAACGAAAAGTTATGCGTATTGTACGTTTTTAAGACGGAAACAACACATATTGTGTTGTAGTTTTAGTTGTAGCAGTGTCCTTTTGTGTATATTATATTTTGTCACGAAAAAAGTTCTTTTTCGTATTCTCCGTTAATCATTATTGTGGTGGATTTTCAAAACTTTATAAATTAGTGCCAACTTTTACAGTCTATTTGCATGTCAGGTATAAACGATGGACACTGGACAACGATATACCATCGTTTAAATTTAGATAAAATACACGACGAAACCGCTCACTTTTAGTAGGTCAAAACTATACCGCTCATTTTATATAATGAATTTAAAGTTACTTAAAAATGTATATATTTTTAATTGTAAAATGTTTTGTTTATTATTTATATTTAAGTATTCGATTTTAAGTTAAGCATATTCATCGCAATAATTCAATATTTCATATTTGTTTACAATATGTTAAAATAACAATTTCATTTTTTATTTTTGGGCGATAAATATCATAATAATTTAAAACAAAATTAAGTGCTTCTCTTAACCTTTTTTGTATACTTGGTTTAAGTGTTTGACGTTCATAATATATCTGCAGGTTTCTATAGATTAAAAAGTGTGCAGTATTTACATTTTACAATAAACCGATATAGTGTGCGGATTTTGAATGCGACCGACAACACGAATTAAGGACATCAGGACACACTAATTGTTTAGGACAGGGGTCTTCAACTCGCGACCCGGCTTGTCAGTTGTCATTATTTGATCGCATTTGAAATATAGCTTGATACAATTAGAACGGATATATAATGAGCTTTAATAAGACATCGCTATCGAAAAAATTGGGAAACATAATGCCATATTGCGATAAGCTAAATTAAATTACCTACCTACATATTATAAATGTTGGCTGTTGCTTGTTAGTTCGTTATCGATCGAGGAACGAACATAATAATCGTTTATGAGTCAAAGTTACAATTTTCAGTATTTTTTCTCAGTGCGTAAATGAGTCATAGAAATAAAAAAAAACATTTGAAATCAATGATACACCGCACGGGAAACGAGTAAATGGCCCAGCGACCGCTCGCATTTCCGTTCCCTGAAATTGTATACGGTTTAAAACAGGACGAGCAATAAAAATGAGAGTCCCATCCTTAATTTTTCGGAAACATTGAGTATCAAAAACGTTTCGCAAAAGGGGGCCTCTCTATACTGAACAATGAACATGTATAAAATAATAACTATTATTACTGTCCCTGACGCATTTACAACATAAAGCAGTTAAAATACAGAGACACGAAAGCTATTATTGTGCTTAGTACCAGCTACCTATCCAGACGACAAATTCGTAACAACGATATTATAAAAAGTTCAACGGCATCACTCGGTAAATGTTGAGTATTATAATTGTAATTGAATATTAAATCTAAAATGTATTAAAATCTTACAAGAACATGTATAATATTACAATAACATTTTGTTTTTAACATACCTACCTACCTAGCATAAATTTATTTTGCAAAATCGTCTTTGTAGGTTTCAAATTATGCAAATTTGTTATATTCTAAGTATAATTTGTAGATTAAATTTAAAGAACTACAAACAAATAGGTAATCGAAAATAATATTTAAGTACCGTATATGATATAATTTATAAGCATTGCTTTTATAAAAAAAATGTTTGAATATTGAATAATTAAAAATCATAAAATATATTTATATATATATCTATTATCTACATTTTTATTATTATTTATTAACGGTATTTAGTAAATTTCAATGTGATGCTTAATAGTTAACATTGGACTCCATACAATTTTAAAAACGTCAAAGGCGTGGCCAATAAAACAAAGTAGAACTTACTAACTTATTACAATATTCGAATTATATCATTAAAAATCAATCCAAACATTCTTAAAACATTTTTATTTATTTTAAGTTCTTAAAATATAAATATATATTGTCTGGGACATATAGCACGTGTGCTTATATAATAATAAAAAAAGACGTATCGGTGTACCTATATGTTAATAAATAAAAAACACTGTAAAAAAATTACCTAGTGAATTTAAACTAGAAATGCTGTATACATTTGCATTGGATATTATTGTGAATATATTTTGCGGGGAATAAATTAGTACATTTTCTGATTTTCATGATTGGATGGAAATATTTAAATTTACAAACCACATATTGTACAGATTGATAAATGTCAACCTTCTGAAGTCGGAAGACGGTAAATTTACAAATAATAATTTATTATGGGTTTGTAAATGTTCGAGACAATAATATAATATAATGTACCATTTTACATTATACGTTATTATTATAGTTGATTGTCTGATATCACACGTTGTGTATGTAAATATCAAACCAACCAAATATTTTCACAGTGTATAAAATGTTTGTTTATGCCATTTTTTCTTTATTTATTTTTTCGCTGTAGACATTTCTATAAAACACCGTCTATAACGCATAAATTCGATCTAGAGGTCATCCATAGGGCGACGGATTTTTATTAAATAAACAAACTATATTATTATATAATTCGGTTAGTATTAATTTTTTTTCGTTGCAAAAATATTTTCTTCGTTTTGTTAATTTTTATAGCATTATGAGGTATACATTTTCCGAGTATTTAGTTTAAAATAAAGAAATTAAAAATATTATCTTGAAACGTTTCGTAAATTATTTAATTATTCATATAATTATTTAACAGGTTCCAATATATAAAATAGTTTAACGAAAAATTTAACATGGGACAATATGGGACATAATTTTATTTTTATATTTTTGCATGTATAGAATGAAGATGTTTTTCATCAATAAAAACCATCACTGCGAGTCATTTCCAATTTTTACATTTTAAAATGATTTAACTTCCTTCGTAAATTAAATATGTACTACCTACATTGATTTTTTTTTCATAATGTAAAATAATGTTTAGGTAGGTAATTTATTAATGTTATTATTGCGGTCAAGGCATTTCTGACTGTTTTTTTAGAGCAATCTATTATATAGCTATAAGGCATTTAAATTCTGGCCCCGCATATCTTTCGAACCTTATTTATTATCGGTTAACACGGGGATATGTACTTACCGCGGTGTTACCAATCGCCAATGGGCGGTTTTCGAGAAAATCGCACTCGAAAAATTACGAAAATCCCATATTTTATACACATTTAACTATATTATAATACCTTGACTCCGGCTTTCAGCAGAAGGTTCGACGCCAGTTCCGGATCGAAATTGGACGGCATCGGTTGCACTGGTAGGTCCTTGGTACTTATACCACGGTGTTGACGGGACATGTGCGAGTGCAACGAATTCCTCGATTTGGCCACCGTGCCACACAGCACACATCTATATCCAGAACACACGGTGTGCTTGTCCTCCAGATGTGTTCGGAGGGTGTGTGCCGAACGGTAGATCTTGCCGCACTTGGGACACGGTCTCGGGTCGGTTGCCCTCACTCTGGTCATCTCGATCGATCTCCTGGCTGAAATATGTACACGTTTAAAGAGACTGTCCGACAAACAAGTAAATGTATAATAATATTCATCATACACGATTATAATTAGCTGTTAATAATAATAATAATTATTATTATTACCTATCGAGGGCCTCGGCGGGTAAATTATTTTAAATTTACCACCAACACTACCTATATATATTATAATATATCTGTGGCTTGAATGGCCAATGTCATATATTTTGAAAATGTTCAGGAATTTAAAATATTTAATTAGCCAATTTTTAAAATTTACATAAAAATCTTAAATTTTACGTTTGAACCCTAAAAATTCCGTTACTTAATTACATTTGGTTTTTGAGTATAGATATGTACGCGTTTTAGACTGACATTGGCTCCCCAGAAAAAATAATAAAATTACTTTAGTTTGACATTGGCCAAAAACTAAAATTCAAAATAAACAATTTTTAATACCTAATTAAATATTTTGACTTTTTTATAAAAACCTAATAATAATATTCAATTGAACATAGCGTTAGTAACTTCTACATTTATAAACTTTATTAATTGATTTCGAAATGACCAATGTCGTGGCTATAGATAATATGTGGCCAATGTCACAAATCTAATTTGGTCATACAGCATAAGAGACATTGGCCCTCTTAACACAAGTAACATAAGCAGATTTTAATGACATTGGTCAAATAATTTCAATTTTGTCAAAAAGTGACAATGGCCCTTTTTGTACCACAGATATATACTTTATATTCATATTTAATAAACCAGTAGAAAAAAATCAAATATTTTTTTAAATAATTTTACATTCACGTGCGGCTCGCTTAGGTATGACTTAACGATAATATAATATAAACCTATAACGTAAATGTCAATTGTCAATATATACGCTACACTCGAGGAACGCTATCAGTTCTCTCCGCTTGTAATCATATCTAAATTTAACATAACACTTTTATGCAAAAAAAAAAATATATTCATAAATTGAATAATTGCATAACGCATAATATATCATATCGTATAAATCGTATTATATTATAATTTTAGTCTATATTGCGATCGTTGACCTGAATCACTGAACAAGTGAAAACACTGTCGCTACTCGACTCCCCTTGAAGGCGCCCTCGTTTATGTATAGTTAACTCAAATGCTAGATCGACATATATATAGATTATAGTCATATAGGTACCTCGTGTTTGGGGAACGTGACATTAATAATATGCGACGGATGCAAATGCAAAATAAAAAAAATTTTTTTTTTTGTAAAATGTTGACTTTATTAATGTATCCATATAGTTAATAAATAAAATAAAAAGAAACCCATAGGATTCTACATAATACCATATTTTAACAAACAATCGATAATAAACCGTATAGATTACAGCAGAGAATTTCGCCATAAATGTATGTACTTATACACGTAATAATAAATTATCATAAAATACACGACGTACACAATAATTGTCGAAGAAAATACAGCTCGTACGAAATAATAAGAAATAATAATATGATTGTGTATATATAATCAAATAATCGCATCATAAATAGTTAAATACTATACCTATGTATAATGTATTGTAATAACGCGCAATAGGTATATATCTCGTATAAATCATATTAGCTATAATATAATAGATAGACGCCTGCTATATACAATTTCTACGGCTTACAAGTTATAAATTAAAATAGGTATAATGTACAATAAAATATTATACATTAATTATATAAAATTGTTATTTAGAGTTTGGAATGTTTCAAATGTAATAAAATATAATATTTTGATGTTTCTCTACATTTTATAATATATACGCTTACGAAATAGGTATTGGGAATTTGTAATTTGTGATCGGTAATCACATTTTTTTAATAGTGGTTGAAAATATGGTTAGTTTTTTATGCATTTAAACCAGAAGGAGGTAAGATAAAAATTGTTATTCACATGATGGTTCGATTAAAATTGTCAACAATTTTCGAAATTCGTAGGTCTGATTTCTACAATACTTGTAGGAAATGCATTTTTAATTTTGTAGACGTTTCCTACAAAAGCCGGAAACAATTATGCAGATTTAAAATGTGATTTCATAACTATAAAATGGACGGTCGCAGCTGCAAGATGAAAAATAAAATATAAATACAACTATGGCTTTAAACAAAATGGTTTTAACCGCCTTATACACAGATAAAGTAAATAGATTGTTTCGTACAAAATGTACAATAAACAAAAACCCTGATAGATGCGCAATGAAAATATTGAATGATGTAACTCGGACAGTTTTTGTTATTTTCTTAATGTTGTTGGGTTATGTATATTATGTGGAGAATTCTATTAGTTAGCGATTACCAAATAAAAACAGTTTATAACGTTTTTATCGTCTTTATTGTATATTTTTTGATGACACGCACAATATATGGTTTGCTGTTAATTGATAATGTATACAAACATAATATTCTGTTAGTATCGATCAGTCTTCTATTGAATAGAAATAAAAACATAACGGAATTAAAAAAAACAGACACAAATCGGAAATTCGGTGTAAGCATAATAACATTATGAAGAGTTTGGAGTAAATATTATTATAGGTAAAACTGCGTATTACTTGACTTACTTAAAATAATTTATTATTTCATGTAATCAATAATTCAGGAAGTTAAAAATAATGGTAAAATACCATCTTTAGTTATAAAAAACTACCACAATTTAAAGGGGTATAGGTATGCGAGGAGGTTTATATAATTATATTGTTATCTGTTGAACAAGTATGGAGTATACATTGCAACAGATATGTTTAAACCAGTGGCGCCGAAGTCCATGCTGACGTCGGGCCGTGGCCCGACCTCTTTTTTGAAAAATGTTTAATATTTAATTATAAATATATTTAATTTACATCATAACTTTATTATAAGCATGAGTAAATTTAAACCGTGATTATGAATAAATTTATATTAGGGTACCTCTATATTAAATAATTAAGACTGCCCGACCACATTTTAAAAACTTCGGCGCCACTGGTTTAAACCAAAATAAACAGAATATTTTAATGATTGTCAATAACATATTTTAAATTATTATTTCAAAGACATTAAACTGTTTCGTTTAAACTGAGGAAAGGACTACATGGTATATTCGAGTGTTTAATGAAGTAAAAAAAAAATAATGTAAGCCAGCAACCAGTGAAACCATAGTAATAAAGTTTTTTAATGTTATTACTACAACGACTTTCAGATGATGATTAAAATTAATTTATTATATTAAAAGTGTAAAATTGAAATACAGGGATTTATATAGTTTAATATTAGTACATCCCAAAAATCAAACAATTTTGACGACCAAAAATGGGAAAATGAAACGTGCTTGATTATTTTAAAACTAAAAAAAACATATAGGTATTCCCAGAAAAATCTTTTATTTACAACGAAAATATTACTTAATAAAAATAATAGGTACATATTTTATGTGCCAAATAAGTTTCCAGTTGGTCGTAAGGAACAATACCAGAATTTTTGTTTATAGTGTTTAGTAACAAACATGTAATAGGTATCACATAATTGAGATCGTTCACTAAGTTTAATTTCAAAAGAAACAAACCATTTCACATACATTAAAAAAAAACAAATTGTTTGCTTTGTTTTAAAAAAAATTTTATATTAAATTTTATACAAAGATAGCACCCGAAAATGACCAATATACTTAAAATCTGACCTTAACCGGTTATATGTTGCTATTGGTACCAATTAATTAGTTTATCATATTAGTAAAACCAAATTAAACATTAGATAAATAAAATATTCCATGTTACATAATAGCATACGTATTTATATAAAATTGAAATATTTTTGATGATGAAAACATTTCTATTTTCAACAGCCAAAATATGCCGAGTGCTAACCAAATTTATAAACAATACATTAAAATAAGTTCGAACATAGCTCGTTATCGATACCAAATTTATAATTTAGTTCCTTAATTTGTGTTTAAGTTGCTAAATTACAAATAAATACAACGATTTTTTGACATTTTGATTTTATAAATTTTGATTACATTTTAGAGTTTTGAAATGCCTGACTAACATAATAGATGAAAACAATATTATGACATTGGCATCTTATTGACTTATTATTATACAATTATTATACTTTATATATGAATGGTATAGTTATTATTACTACTCTTTTTTTTTCTTTTTAAAATAAAATGACCAATAAACTAAAGAAAACAAATTCTAAATTAAACATTTGAAAAATTATAAATAAAACGTAACAAAAATAAAAATAATTGATAAATACAGTAGACAATGTAAAGTAAATTTGGTATGTAGTTTAGTTTAGTTATTGTAATCTATTTGCAATTTCTTTAATTAAGTAATGTAAATTTAAAACATTATTATCACAATTTATTCATAGGTACTTGTATGGAAAACATTTCCATAAATTAATAATATTAATATATTATGTGTTTAAGTATGAAAATGGTATTTTGTTTATTTGATATAAATTGTTCAATGAATTCATTGATGAATTAAGAATTGCAGTGGTTCGACTACCTACCAAAATACTTTACGTCATGTAACAAAAACATAAGCAACTATTTTATAAACTAAAAATAAAATAACCAATAATATATAATTAAAACATTAGAGTAAATTTTTAGGTAATTTTTTTAACGTAAGATATGTAATAAAACATGATAATGCATTATACATAGCTGCACTTCATTGTCTGAAGACAGTTTTGAATAATATAATCAATTAAAATATTTATACCACTAATATCTAATAATTATTTCCACAGTACTAAAGACTAGAATCAGAGGACCAAATTAAGGATAAAATATGACGATATAATATAAAATATACATTATTTACGCAGTCGTATTTACATAGTAATAAAATACAAATAATCCTTACTATATTATATTATATATGAATTGTAAAAATATAAATATATATGTTTAAATTTAAAATTTAACGAAAATCATTTTATTCTTCATCTGTCAATAAAAATGTTGATTGTTTCATAGAGAACAATAGTAAATATCAACAAAATATTTTTATAATTTCTAAATGTAGGACTCATTTTTTCGATCATAAATATTTTAACAAATATCACTATGATTATACGAATATAATATGACTATATCACATTATCACTCAATTATGTATATTGCATAATGTTTAATGTGTCGTTATATCTATTATCTAGTACTTCTAATTATTAGTTATATTTTCAAAAGTTATTTAATAATCTAAAGGACTTATTATTTATTATGTTCAGAAGTAGTTGACACAAAAAAATCAATTTATTTGAATGAAAAAGAAGTAGCCAGAGTTTAACTGTTTCATTAATAACATACTATATACTAAAATACAATAGATGGATTAAAAATTTTTTTTTTTATTTGTATTAATTATTGTTATGTTTATTTGGTTCTAAGGATAAATAAAGATAATTCAGTTATGGTTTTTTATTTTAATATTTTGTGTAATAAGCACATTTGTATACACGACAAAGTAATGACTAATGACGAACACGGCGCGAATCGTGAAGAATATTAATCATATTTTCTCTTGTAAAAAATGCTTAATGCTTAGATTTATAATTTATTGGTATTATAATATTATTGATCGCGGTTTACCGTGAATACCAATTATTATTATAATCGTGTGTGATTCGCATTTATTGATTTCGTAATTTTTGGCGAACATGTTCAAAAATAAGATGAGCAAAGTATGATGGTATGTAGCTTAATATAATATGCCACAACTAAGTATTAGGTATATGATATTTCCAAACGTCAGCATAATTAAAAATATATTTTTAATTTATAAAATTGTCAAAATTGGCACGTATTTAGTCGTTTATGGGAAAAAAAAGTTTTAGATAATAATAATTATTGCTAAAATCGGATGAGTTGACGTCATAATACCCCTTCCACGTTTGCGAGTATTGCCTGCAAATACGAGAGAAGGAAAACAATGTCGAACATTATGATATAATATATTACGTAGGTACCCACTATGCGGTACAAACCGCAGTTAATAGAACGTCAGACCCGAGTGCGAACCGGATAAGACACACGGTATACCTAACCTAATACGAAAGACGGTTTGGAAAAAAAAATTAAAATGATAATATAAAAGTAAACTTCGAGTAAAATAGAAAAACAAAAAAGTTGTAAGCAATAATGACCTCGTCGTCGTCCGACATACGCGCAGTATACATGTGCTGCGTATACAATATACACGTAATAATATAATAGGCAATAATGTATTACACGTAATATTATATTATACCATCGGAAACCATGGTTTTAAATCCCATCGTCGAGGTGTAACTAAACTATTATTATTATTACTTTAACAGAATTAATATACGAAAAGGGGAGGGGATTATAATATTATCTGGTAACGGCCGATTTGGATAACATGTAGAACTGGGAAGATAGATCGGGGTTGTTAAGTCGGTTCAACACGGACGCCGACGAGGACGACGGTAAGGGTGGTACGAAACTGTTTGGGGGATGCTGTTGCTGCTGTTGCTGTTGTTGCTGCTGCTGCTGCTGCCGCTGTTCGTTATGATCGGCGGCGGCGGCTGCGGCTGCGGCGGCTGCTGCTGCTGCTGCGGCGGCCGCGGCCGCGGCAACGGACGCGTGCGACAGGGGCTTGATGTCGGCGTGGTGCGACATGAGCGGTTTTACCACCGAGGCGTTGGAAAAACACGAGGAAATGGTGGCCGACGGGCTGTGGGCCTGCAGTGGCGACGACGACGACGCGATCGTCGATGGGTGCGAAGGATGGTGGTGGTGGTGATGGTTATGGTGGTGATGGTGACCGCCACCACCCCCGACACCACCGCCACCCGAGGGCAAGTGCATGTGCATCCTGCTGCCCCGCTGCCGGATGCCGTGGGTTTGCAACAGGTGATTGAACAGATACTGTCTGGTCTTAAAGTGTTTACCGCACACCGGGCAGGGTTCCCAGTGCGGAGTGGCTGAGTGGACGTTGGCTATGTGCTGCTTCAAGTTGCTCACGCTGCTATACACCCGGCCGCATTCTGTGCACACTGGCTTCGGTTCGGTGGCGTTCAAGTAACATCCCATCGTAGGTCCACCGCCATCCCCTGGAACCCCACCAGTCTAGTGTCATATATACGTGTCATACAGCATTTTTTTTTTTTTTTAAATAACATTATTTTTTGGTTTCTCTTCATGGCTATAATATATTTCACACACATGTACCGTTTTTGCCACCGTGTCAATGATATTGCCTATTTTCTATATTATACAGTATTTTTGATACATGATTTTGGCCAAATATTACTTATCTTACACTTACAATAATATGGTTTAAAAATATTTTTATGATTTACCGAACTTGAAGTAAGAAAAATTTAATTTTTTTTTATCTACTTAGACACCGATTTATAAGATAAATGTCTAAGTTAATATTTTTAAAATTGAAGCACTCTAGTATTCAAACAGTTATGTACGTTTAAAGTTTAGGCAAGAGGCGGGATATGAGTACTGTACCAAGTGTTTAGTAGGACTGCAGGGATGTACCAATACAAACAAAGTGAGATACCATATTATATTATATATTATACCATCATACTATATAATAAAATAAATATTATATTACGAATATACCATATTATACATTGTTAGACTACGACTTATTCGACATTTTAAGTTTCATAAAAAGTTTCATTTTCAAGATTGGATTTTTTATTACCAGAAAACAGAGTACCCCTCTGAGCCCCACGATTATAAATACAATTGTCCTAAAGAATGATTGTCAACAGTTACGCCTATGTATTTTCCATTAACTATTTTTTTCTATACATCCAATCTCAGTTTTAATTTCCGTGATAATATTAATATGTTTGCTGTTTATTGTTATTAATTGTTTTATTTTAGCTAAACGCAAATAATTATTATAATATTATTCCGTCAATATTTATATTTCATCCCCTACGTTGAAACTAGTGTTTTATAGTTGTTTTTGCTAATTAAATTTACATCATAATGAATAATTTATTTTCAAGTAGAACAATATTATAGTCAAAGGTTATTTGGGGTATTAAACGTAAACATAATGTCGTTCATGATAAATCATAAATGTAATTTAATAAATCAATATTAAAAACTGTTTAGGTACCTACCATAAATAGAATATAATTAACAGGACGGTACACCCGCATGTGTTGTCTCAGTCTTAAAAATGTACAACAAAACAAAAACTGTTTTGAGCGGGACAACTATACTATACCTCTGTATTTATAGTAGAATTACTAAAATGTCACTAAAATAGGGAGGAACTTTTCTATGTCGTAGTGTTTTTTATTTTATTGATACCACTAACCAATAATTTTTAATAATTGAAATGAAAAAAAAAAAACAAAAACCTAATGTTTTCCTCAAACTGATAATTTTAATTGTATTTATGTTATCCAAATAATAAAACGCTAAGACAAAGTTCTTCCTTATCCCTATGCGTTGTGAAATTTTGGTAATTATACTATAGATTCAGAGGGACTATAGTTGTGCCGCGCAAAATAGTTTTTGCTATATTGTATATTTGTAAGATAGAGATAAGGATAACACATCCTCTTCATATATTTTTTATGAAGATATCATCGATAAATCGTTGATTCATTTTATAATGATATCATGGACCACTTGTACCAAGAATTAACTATACACAAATAAATACATAATCAACCTATGTTTCTACAAATCAAAGTATATATTGTATAAGTATATTAATGAGGTAAAAATAATATACACATAATAAATGGCTACGAAAATATAACCCGTTACAAAAAACTACAGTTACAACAATTCCAAAGTACCAAAATGACCAAAGAAAATATAGTTAAATACAAATGTCTGGGAAGTCACTCTACTATATTGGAAGTGTTGAGTGTATCATTGAGTAGGTGAAGTGTTAAATTTAAATTCAAATCAATTAATTAATGATACGTCATCGTAAACCTACGGTGATAAACGATTTTGAACAGAGACGTACGTCTACATTTCTAAGGATTTTATTATTAATTTATATTGCCGTAAGTACGTAGGTAATTTATTATTATTATTTAAATTTTAAAGTACAACATTTTAAACGCCTAAAAATAGATCCAAAAGAACCAAAATAGTTTTTAAATTGTACCTATCATGTCATGTTTAGAGAAAATGTAAATATAAATATTTAATGAACATTTCAAATTTGTATTTCCATTGTGCTTTGTTGTTTTGAACCGAATTACCTATGCATTAGTCTAGAATAAGGCAATTTCAATATTTGTAAGTACAATGTTTATTATTAATTACCTTCAATTCGTTTACTAATTTAAAATGTTATTTTTACCAGGTATTAAAATGGTTCATTATTATGTATGTCCTACATTAATTGTTTTCAGCTTATGTAATATTGCTCAGCTCCTTGCTTTTTTATAAAACAGATTTGTGCATAATAATTAATAATCAGTTTATTATCTTGAATGTAAGTTATTGCATATTATAATTTACAAAATAAATTAAGGTTATTACGACATCATTCTGAGACATACCTACCCATAATATCTAAAGTACTAAATTGTTGTTAAAATATTTTTTTCTCATGGCCATATTTTTCTTTGGCTACTGGTATTTTGGTATGTAGGCATTTTTTAACTGGGCACTTTTGAATGTGTAACATGGACATTTCTTTAAGCCTATAGGCATTTTTTCCCTGGCCATTTTTCGACATTGACATTATTACCTAGACTATAGTGAAACACCGTGTTTTTCCAAATCCCCTTGAATTAGATGGACATCGGTGGGGGCTATCAGGGACATTATTGTCCTCCAAATTGAATTGTATATGTGGGCCATGTAAATAGAAATTGAAGTGCGTGCCACTTTACTTTGGACCCCCTAAAAATACAAACAAATGTCCGCTTATGTGCCGCCTTGTTGGCTATTTATAAGAAGACAGAAAAATGGTGGCTCTCATTTTCTATACATTATATTAATTAGATATTATAATTAACTGTATCTAATAATTCAGCGATGAGGAGAAAAGAAACATCATAATATTACAACAAATAGCAAATTTAATATTATATTATACACATCTATTATTACAAAACGGGTATCTTGAACAATTCTTATTTATTTATAACTTTTCACTTAATGAATAAATATGTTATATACGCTCGTATAATGATATAATTTAGCATCCACAAAATATTATTATGGGCAGAAATAAGATACACCTCAAATAATTCATAAAAATCATGTGAAAATATAGAATGTTCTTAAGATTTAAAACTAAATGCGATAAAAAAAACGTAGGTATTAGACTTCAAAAGAATGAGTTCATCAAATTAAAAACTTTTAACTATTTCTAACTAAACTGTTTTAATATTCAATTCCATGCCAATTTATAAAACTAAATCAACTTAAACGTATTGAGAATAACGATAGAGACAAGATTTATTGATTAGAAAAAATTATATTAATTTGTAACTGTATATTATATATACTGACGAAAAGCATCGTTTTGAGTACCTATAACAATATAGTTATTATCTTCTTGTCCAAATGTATTCTGTAAATCTTTTCCAATTCTAAAGCATCTAAGTACAACCTAATTTAGATTTTCAGGCGCCTTTTGCGGTGACAAATATCACCTAATAGATAAGGTTATGGACCATCCTATATTCTTACTGTTTTCTGCTCGGTATAGATTAACAAGCTCTGGTTCATTAGCTAAATTGTGCATTTTGGCTACACCAAACCTTAATCAGCGTAGGTACATTACTTGGCTACCTAATCGCACAAATATAATATATTTGTCATTATTGTTGATGATTTATTACCAGATTTATTTAAATCACCTTTAATACTTTTACCACATATTATCACCCATAATTTACATTTCTATTAAATTCAAAACAATTCAAACGTAGGCACAGTAGGTATACTGTATAGTTTAAAATTATAATTAATTATTAGTCATTACTCGTTAGAAAAAAATTGGCTTTTGAAGAAATTAATTTAATTCTGCTCGTTATACTAATTCGTTATTTAATTACTTGAAATTTCTTTCCTTTATTTGACAAAATATTTTGTATGAGCTTTTATATTAATTACAGTTCTTACGAAAATTAAGTTAAACTTTTTTATAATAATTATATTTCTGAAGTGCTTTAATATTTACACAAGCTTGGAATGATAAAGTGGTATTTATAGAGTTTAATTACGTTCAAAAGTAAAATATGTTATTTATCTTTTAATTAAAACCTTTGCTCTTTACTACTTTAGTTTATATATTTTAGTTATTTTATTATATTATTATTAATATTTGTTTTTAATTTGATATATTAACAAAATTATAGCATGTTACATATTTTATACAGTAAAAGTACCGATTGTAAAATACATTCAATATAGAAACCTATAGGTAGTTGAATTTTCTTAAATCTATATAAGTATGAACTAAATTATATATTATAATTTATAATATAACGTTGGAATAATAACTCAAAAAAATAATAATTTGATATTATCCTCAACTGGAAAAAAATCATGGTTTCTTTCAATTAGGTATTCTAATACAATTTTATGACTATAGATGTGACATTTAATTCAATAAACTTTTTAATGCGTAAAATATTAATAATCTTTAAGTTAAACCTTAAAATTATAAAACCATTAGGTAAATCATGACGGTTTGAATTTTCATCGTTTAATTAAATAAGCCAAATCATATTATTTTAACACATTGTGCATACGCAATTCCGTTCTCTTAAGACTTAATCACTAATGACACTTCAAGTATTTGGTTTATAGTGTTTAAAATGTAAGTTTTCGGAAAAAGAAATCGCCAAGAAATTTTCTGTTTCTTAGTAGGTAAGGACCACTATTAATAATTATTTTAGAAGAAAACAATCTGATTAAAAACAAGTTTTACAACATTTTTATTTAATTACAATACGCACAACCTATGGTGTTATTCTTTTAAAATATAATAAATAATAATATATAACTCAAAAATTTTTGATATCTACCCTCCAAAGTTTGATTTATCGTTTATCTCCAGTGTAGTAATAAGA